TATTTCCTTTGTTGAAGTACAGGAATTATACCTAAGCTTTATTTATGAACAGATTAACTTACTGTAGCAGTTGCCAGAAGTTTTTCCCCCAAATATTGCAGTTAAGTATTAATGAAAATATTAGTTCAGGAAAATACTTGCAAAGAAATATTTACAATAATTTTTAACACAGATTAAGAGAAAAGTTAAAAGTATTAAGGAGAGTTAGTTTTTTGTTTTGCATCTTGTTTCTATTATTGATCTGCTGGAACTAGAACAACTCTGTGAAAATAGCGAAATTGTGTTTGCTAACATTAATGTAAAATATAAATGTTTTATGTTAAGTTTGAAGAACATGTTTAAGTATTATATTTTGTTTGTGGAAACACATCAGAAATAAAAGTTTAAAAATATGTATGTAAATAGAGAAAACCACTGAATTTACAATAGTAATAGTCTCTGGGAGACAGTGTAATAGAGAAGAGAGGAAGTTTCTTATATATATTATATATATGTAATATGATTTATAAATTACATATTATTATATATAATTATTTTGTATAATATATAATTATATACTCTTATGTATTATATATTATATACTGTATATAAACAATATATATTATTATGTATAATATATATTACTAGAAGTATTTATAATTATTATAATTATATATAATTTTTAAAGGTGAAGAATTTTCTGTTACTCTCTATGCATTCCTTAATGTTGAAAAGATTTCATGAAATATAAGATAGTTCATTCTTTCTAAAAGAAAGGAAAAAAATAAAAGAAACTCAGTGATAACACTATACAAATGTCAGAGATACAACTTACAACAGAGGCAATGAAAAGCAACTTTTGTTTTTGGGATGCACTGAAGAAGACTATTCTGACAGAATTAGCACCTGTATGGGAAATAGTAGTTAAAGTTGAAATTGTAATAGATGGCACTAGAAGCTCTCCATTGTGCAGGGAAAGGAATACAATTAAATTCTAATATTTTCATGTATACCATTATGTTAAGGACAGATTTTATTTAGCAAGATTTTTTTTTCCCTTTAAATCCATTCTCTCACTAGAATATTTTAGTTTTGAAAAAAGAAAATGAACTTTATTAGTATTTGAACTTTGTGAATAAACATTTTTTTAATGAAAATTACTAGTGACCATATTCAGGGGCATATGCATTGAAATTAATTTACATGTATATATGTATTAGTAGATACATGTATATATATAAATACAATATATATAACCTTAAATTAGATAAAATATTGTTATTCCTTATTTTCTCAGCTACTTATACAAGAAATAAAAAATCTTATGCTTTGTTCCAATCAGGCATGACTGATAATTTTGTAATTTAAACCTGAATCAAATATTTAGTATATAGAGCAAGGCTTTAAAATCAGAGATACCTTTTAGTGAAGGAAAAATAACAATAACATCTTGCATATATTTAAATACTCTGGTCTGATAGTCATATTGAGAATTCATCTAGTCAAATTAAGAAATAATCTGAAAAAGGAAGGAGGTATCATTTGGCACTATTCATTGGAAATTTATGGGAAGGATGGTTTACACAGCTCATAAAGATCTAACAGTTTCCAACTCTCTATTTTTTTTTTTAAACAATGTGTGCATAGAACATGTTCATGACTATATGGACAAGTCTTTTTGGGAAAAAATCTCCCAAAATAAATACATGTGGGACGATATCTGTTTTTATATTTATGGTTAATTCTACAATTTGGTCAAGTGTTCTCAAAACTGAAACATTCCTGGTAGCCATAACTTTGTGTACCATTGTGGTTAATTTTTTTAAAAAACCTTTTTTTTTAAAGATTTGATTTTTGAGTAATCTCCACACTCAACATGGGTCTTGAACTCACAACCCCAAGATCAAGAGTTGCATGTTTCTCTGACTGAGCCAGTCAGGTGCCCCTAGAAAACATTCTTGACAATAATAAAGTGTCATCTCATTTTAAATAATTGCAACATTTTATAATATTTGACCACAATATTTCTCAGAATCTGTGGTAATTTTTATATAATTATCTTGCAAGTAATTTTTTTTCTTTAAAATCGAAAAGGTTTTCATGTGATGAATAGTTACAACATTTTTTATCGTTTAACATCTAGATTTTAAATCTTTAGTTCATATGATGGTATTTCTTTCCCTCCCTTATTTCCTTAGAACAGCACTGTGTAAGAATACTATTTAAGTTTATACTATTTAATGATGTTGTTCATGAAGGTATGATGATGATGGGGTTGAGACACAGAGCAGAAAAGTATTAATCATGGCATCTGTATTACCAGTTACCTTTGCTGTTTTGGTTGCTATAGTCATCTGAGATTCATAATTTACCTGAGGTATTAAAGCATTCTAATAAATATCACCTTAATCTGGATAGAAAACTGTAACTTGACCATAAACTGCACTTGACCATTCAAAAATATTTGTTGAATTTTAAATAATAGCAGAAAGTGAGCATTTCACCTCAATAATTTAATAGATGTAGCATTATACTTATATTTTAAACAGAGGCAATAGTATCTCTGAACTATCATTTTGTAGTGAAAACATCACAGCTTGGAGTCCAGTTAAATATTCTAAGCCAAATAAACATATATTCTCAATCTCCAAATGCTTTCTTCATCGCTTTATTGGTCACTAAACTGTTCATTTTTCTGTGTCACTGTCATATTACCATAATGTTACATAAATATGGAATTATACACCAAATGTGCCATAGGTGTATGTTTGGGTGACCTTTCAAATCATACTGCATTTTGTTAGAACTTTCAGTACAGAGAAGTAAAAGCATAATATCATGTTCCCACTAAGATGCAATGTCACTATCCTCCAAGTCATTAAGAGGTCAGAGGTAATGCCTTTAAAATAAACTCACCCAACCAGCAATCTCTTAAACACTGAAATAAGACCAATCTTTTTATTTCACAGCCAGTTGCTGCTTTATTGACTCTCTCTTTATAGAAAAGCATAAAACTAGGAGGGAGAAAAAAACAAGGAAGGAAAATACCAAAAGAAGCAATAAAAAGGAATACAGGATTATGTTTCAGACAGCAGGATTTCTACACACTTTGGTAATTTCTCTTCATCATTTATTTTCCAGGATTTCAAACATAAATTTGGGGTACTTTATTATTTCCACATTATTACTTCTAATTAAATCTACTCTGTTAATATTTTAGTTGGACTAACTCAAATCATGATTTGCCACTCTAATAAAAAGAAAATTATACTGGATAAGATAGATATTATATTGAACTAATACAGTTATTGAACTAATGACTATCCATCCTTGAAGAAATCATTAATTTTTTCTGTGCCTCAGTTTACTCATCTGGTATAGGTAAACTCTAGGGTCCTTTCTAGCCCTATCGGCTTATGATTCTATGAATTTTCTTAGGACAAATGAGAAATATATTTTCTTCTCATAAGGTCACCCTTTAATTATGATTTTTATTGTCATAACTGTAAATATGTGAGACATGGTTTTTATCTTTGATATGAGTCTTTGTATTGCATTATACACAGTAAATGTTTTCAAAAATAAATTCTCCATTGATTTCCTTCCTACATTTTCCCTTCTGTTGTTAGCCTTCTTCTCAATAGATGGTGCTCTTTTCTCAGAGACACTACTTATCTTATTCCTCATCAAAAGATTAAAGAAATTAGTTTTATTCTTTAATAATTATTAATTAAGGAAAGCAGACATATGAGAAATAATCGATTACAAGCAGCTTGCAGCACCGCGGTCAGGAAAGGATAAGGGGAAAAATGATTGTTGAATGATTAAGGAACTCCATTACAATCTGCAGTACTTGCTGAATAGATGAAGTGAATATTGTAACTAAATATGAATATACTATGTTCACTACATACATATAATCTGTAGTAGGAAGAAGACCCCAAATTAGAAACCATTTTAAAGTGTTAAAATATTTTTCTACTTTAACAAAAATGAATATATAGTATACCATATTAGAAGTAGGACTTGAATATGCACACCAACACTAACACAGTCTACATTCATCTCAATTAATATTGAAAGCTTGCACATTCTTTGCCAAATAAACCTGGAGTATCTAGGTAGAAAGAAAATGGGCCACAAACTCTTTTCAAAAAATTTAACTGATTAAGACACTTTTTTCTCTTCAGAGAAACCACTGTAAGTTCCTAAAGATAGTTATAATGCAGAATTATGATGTTTAAGGTCACTTCTAGTTGGTTCCCACTTTCGGAGGATTTGGAAAACAGTCATGCCCTACAGATCTCCTGAACCACACTAATCTATTCTCAATTCAGTTTGTGACTCCCCTAGCAGATCTGCAGCTGCCAACTGCCAAATGGTCTAGGCAACACAACTGTCATATTTGTTCCTGCAAAGCAACACTGTTTACCACAGAAAACTTTCTCAATGAGTGTGGCCTCAGGATGGAAAGAACAGTGGGGCAAGGACAAGTGTGACAAGGGAATGGAGGGGGGTGCTGTGGTGCAGCAAAGTACCCGGAAGCCAGCAGGGATAGGGAACTTGCATGTTCAAGTTCAACTTCAGACATGAAAAGGAGATTTCCCTTCATCAGGAAAACTAACTAGAATTTCTCTTCCATCATTCACAAATTATTGTTTCCACAGCTCCTGTGGAAGGGACTGTAGGATTCTGAGTCCAAGAACCCTCTTGGCTCAGGCAAAGTGAGCTCTAAGACAGAACATCCCCCCCCCACCCCCACCCCCCGCAGAGCTTTACATCTTCTACTAAAGCAACTTATCTGTTTCTGAAATTTTTGATTCTTTAACAATGGAGGGAAAAATAGAAAAGTAGATTTTTTGCACTCACAACAACCACTCTACCTACCGTCGCCCCCATATTCTCCCGTTTACCTCCCTTCTCTTATCCTCCCGCCAAACGCTGCCTGGGGGATCAGGTATCCCTTTACGCCCCTATTAGCTGCTGTCTCTGGTGGGAGCCCTGGCTGGCGCCTTCCTTACCTGACGATCACATACATGACCAGGAAGTTTCCGAAGAGACCCACCACGCACACGATGGAGTATAGGGCCATGATGGTGATGGCCGTGATCATGGAAGGGCTGCCGGTCGGAGGGCACGAGCTGTCGCTCCCGCCCAGCTCGGTGCGGTTCGGACCGCATGGGTCGGACAGGTTGCCATCTAGGTGGGAGAAGTTGACCCAGGACCCCGGGCTAGGTGCTGGGGAGCAACTTGAAGCGTGCGTATAGGGATCAGTGCAATTGCTGGCGTTGGTGGGGACGGAGCTGCTGTCCATGGTGCTGACGGCTGGCTGGGACTTCGCTGCGAGGTAAACGCGAGCACCTAGACTTTTTCAGGTTCCACGCGTCTCGGCCGCCTCCTCTCGCCGCTGCCACAGTTCCTATTTCTTACAGATACCAGCCCTGGTGCAGCCAGAGAGGAGCGTCAGGTAGAAGGGGAGAGCTGGGCATCTGAACATAATCTTCTGCTTGCAGCCCCCTTCCGCCTTAGTAGTAGAGACGCATCCTCAACCCCACGACCGCTGTGGGGAGGGGAGGGAGGGCTGTGCGGGATCCGGAGGCTGAAGGGGAGGGAGGAGAGAGAAGGGGTGGATTTTGCGCAAAGCGATCCAACGAGTTGGTCTGTCTCCCAAAAGGCACTCGTCGGTGCAAGCATACCTAAGGAGCGGCAGAAAGGGGAAGGGATGGGGGAGACAGACAGACAGTGAGTTCTTGGCAGCAGGAAAGCATAAGAAAGGGGGCTGACATCAGTCTGTTTTCCCAGCTCCGTTTTCTCTGTATAATACGAAAGGAAAGACATTGGCCTGGTACAACCCGGACAATCCTTACACCCCAGGGCGCCTCCAGCCCCTCCAGTCTGCTGAAATCATTCAGGACAGGGTTCACAAACTCCTTTTCCTTAGTCCTCCTTAGCTCAGTCATTCATGTCCACACAAAACTAACCGTGTTTTTTTACACCAGTAAATGAAAATTTTCAGACCTACAAAGCTTTTTAAAACAAACGTTCTTCTCTGAAAAAGAAGTGAGAAGCAAACTTTTGTCTAGGAAATCTATTCCGTTTACTCCATATGTCCTCAATTTCTCTTAAAGTAGAAGTTCTAGTTACACTGATTTTTGCTCTGGTGGGGAAAAGGCAGAAGAACATGTTATAGAAATCAGAGGGTGGTGGCATCCAGGAAAGCAATGAAAGATATTGGTGATCCCCCACATCTTAGATCTCATAGATTCGTTTAGAATTATTTATTATCTCTTTTATAGCCAGAATTGCTACATGAACATGTGCTTCTCGGTGGGAGGTTGTCAAAATCAAACATTTGCATTTTATCAGTCTGTTTTCCAGTGTAGAGATTCCGGAATTTCATAGACATCTGGAACTGGAGTGGCCGACAAAAGGTTGAGGAATATTGATACATTTTAAATTTGATACGTAACTTCCAAGACCCTAAATATTTCTATTTTAGAAATACATGTGTAAATCAACCAGGGGTAAGATTTTTTTGTTATTATTTATTTGTTTGCTTTTTGGTAAATTAATACTAATCCTGAAGTAATTCCCATAACTGTATGTGTGTATTTGTGTTATGTATATATATTTTAAATATTTTATTTATTTATTCATGACACACACACACACACACACACACACACACACAGAGGCAGAGACAGAGGAAGAGGGAGAAGCAGGCTTCATGTAGGGAGCCTGATGTGGGACTGGATCCCAGGTCTCCAGGATCACACCCCTGGCTGAAGGTGGCGCTAAACCGCTGAGCCACCAGGGCTGCCCTGTATATATTTTTTAACAATAAAGATTGATATTAGATATCCCCAGCTGGTTGTAGAAAGCAACACTCTTGGGGAACAGGGAGAGGAGTGGCTTAGGGAGCTTGAAAAAAATGTTTAATTCCAATATTATCATTTTCTTGAAAAAAGGTAACTCATAGGTAAACACCATTAAACTCCATAGGTTACTTTGCCAATATTTAATATTATTTTTATCTTTTTACACTAGAGGGTATAATTTCAGCGATAAAGGTTCATAAAGATCTCCTAAGGACGAGTAAAAAACATTTACCACATATGCTCATATTAACTAGTATACAATTCACACACATGGACCTGAAATGTCTCTGGCATTATTTAGTCTTTTGAAAACACAGAACTTGCTTTATGTGAAAGACAAAGAAGCACAATGTAATAAGCCCTGGCCTTGGACTCATATCATTTTGTGAATTTTGGATTTATAACTTTTAAGCAGCATAAGTTTGAACATGTAACTTTATTTCACTGACAGTTTTCTTGTGAAAAAAAATGTTAACAATACCTCATCTGTCTGTTAGCAGGATTAAATGAGATATACAATAATAGTTATTTAATAATGATAGCTTATTTTTATTATTCCATTTAATATTTTTGAAAATAGCTAAGTAGTCTTTTCCACAAGTTAAATATTAACTTCTTTTATAAAATGTAGTTTTGGCTTTTCTCAGTAGCCTTCCCTTTTCTCTATTCACATTATAGTTTATACGTCTGTTATATATATATATGTATAATTTTATTATTTTATCATCTTGTATTGTATTGTACTGTATGTCTGTTCTTAAGGTACAGCTCTAGAGCTAAAAACAGTGCCCTAAGTTTGGCCTGACCAATAAAAACTGAGAAAGATTATAAACTTTTCTTTCTAACAATACAGGTATTAGAATATCCCATTACATTTTTGTTTTTGAAGTCACAATGTTTTCTTGACATTCCTTAGGTTTAGTATTGATAGCATTCTCTAAACATGATCCAAAAGAGTTCAATAGATACTTATTAAAGATCTACTGTGGGTCAGGTGCTGGAGTTTTAAAAGATAGATTTAATTGTTTCTGAACACAGGAGCTGACTTCTTATATCTTGTAAGTTATATTTTTCCTCTCACAAATTTATAGTTGTTTAGAGGGATCTGAGTATAACAAATAGATTTTTAATTTTTAAATTACATCTTCGATCTAGTTCATGATTCAAATCTAACAAAATCTTCTGGAATTGTGATTCTGTCAAGTTTTGTATGTCTACTTCCTACTTTATATATTCAATTATCCTCCTGGCTTTATAAAAGAGGCTGTATAATATGTATAATATGATTCATGAGGGCAAGTCTGATCACTACACAGTATTTAATATGTCGTGGGCTCTTTCGCTCTCTAAGTATTAAATACATAGTATATCTACATATATAATGGGACTGACATTATAAAGTCATTAAAAATCATGGGACTTTTAGAATTACTGTCATAGACTAAAAATTCCCATTGTCCTTCTCTAGAAACATCATTTGTTTTTCAATCTATTTTATAAATATACAATTTTTCTAGGTAGTAGATATTTGAACTCTGGCTTCAAGTATATAGTTTTAACTGAAATTTGATGTTTTCCTTTTCTATTATTCTTTCTCAAGTTTCATTAGGAAATTATTTTTCCATTTTGAAAGCAGAATTTTCTGAACATCAATGCAAGTCTTTCCTCAAATTATATTAACATCTGTATCTCAGTATCTCCCATATATTCAATATGCAATTTGAGAAAAGTAGGACAAACTTAATTTCTATTTCAAATATCATAGGATAGCCTTGAGGAACTCAGGGAAGAGCTGTTATAGAAATAAAAAATTGATACCACTTAATATATAGTGTAAAAGGACCTCAAGTTCCAGATTCTATTATATCTTAGTTGCCCTGTGGGGTGTTCTCTTTTTTCTTCTAATTACATGTTTTCCAGCAAAGTGGTCTTTTTTTTAAGACTTTATTTATTTATTTGTGGGGGGGGGGCAGAGAGCACATGGGGGGAAGCCTGGGGGAGGGGGAGAAGTGGCTCCCCACAGAACAGGGAGACCGATGTGGGCCTGGATTCCAGGACCCTGAGATCATGACCTGAGCCAGAGGCAGCCACTTCACTGACTGAGCCACCCTGGTGTCCCATCTACCAGAGTGGTCTTAAGTCTCAGGTCTCTTGTAAAAGGAGGTGAAATGTAAATATGTAAGTTAATTTAGTACATGCCTAAATATTTTATGTAACGTGGAGTCTAACCATATAATCTTTAATTTCCTAAGCCTTAGTAAGTTATCTGTATAATAGGAATATTTGCTTTTTTGTTAGTATTTCTTGTTTAGCTTAGATTTTCTCTCTGAAAAAAGAAAAACTTACCTACCAGTCAAGATTTAACATTGATATCAAATCCCTAAAATAAAACATTTTTTCATAAAACTATGTTTCAAAGCAAAGCATTTAGTAATAGAATGGATTCTAGACAAGTGCTAAAAGCTACTCTTCTTCCTTCATTTCAAAATATATAAATATACATATAATGTATATATTATTTAGTTATTCATATAATTACCATTATCCTACACATATTTTAATAGCTTACTCCTGATTTTTGGAGACTGACTGTTAATGGAACACACATAAGTGAATCATGCAGCATTTGTCTTTCTCTAACTTATTTCATGTAGCATAAAACCCTCTAAGCCCACCCATGTTATCACAAATGACAAGGTTTCATTCTTTTTTATGGCTGAGTAATGTTCCATTGCATGTGAAAGTATCCTTCACTTTTTGGAATTTTATATCTTGTTGTATGTGGCTTAAAGACTAGCAAGAAGAGTTACACAAATATTACACAATATTTAATAGTACAAAATTGACCTTAAAGGGCCTGATTCCTTTAAGGACTTGAAGATGATATCTATGAGTCCAACTCAGTTAACTCTTTTGAATAATTCACAAAAGCAGATAGTTTAATGATTCATAGGCCTTGAAAATATCTTTCATAAAATCTGAAACCTCATTTCTATTTGAGTCTTTCTCTTTGATTTCCAGTTACAGAAGACTGCCATTACTCTATCATAGTCTTTTACCACTTTATATTTAGACAAAAAAATTGTCAGATTCTTTTTGTCTTAGGACTCTACACATTTAAAAATTATTGAGAATTCATAGAAACTTTGGTTTATTAGGTTATATTTTATCACAATTTATTTATTTATTTTAAATTTATTTATTTATTCATGAGACACACAGAAAGAGAGAGAAGCAGAGACATAGGCAGAGGGAGAAACAGGCTCCCCTCAGGAGCCTGATGTGAGACTCCATCCTGGATCCTGGGATCATGCCCTGAGCCAAAGGCAGATGCCCAACAGCCACCCAGGCATCCCTTTATCACAATTTATAATGTTAAAAATTAAGATAAAACATTTAAAAGCATTTATTCACTCATTTAAGATAACAACAGTAA